ACACCCAACCAATACCACCGCCACTGGCCAGGACGGCCACTTTATCGCCACAACCAGCGAGCCGACCGCAGATGGCCAGCCCGCCGACGCTCGCCGCACAGGCAGCTGCGAAGCGAAGGGTCAGCATCGAAGTCCCGCCGCAGCATGGCTCTCATTCTAGAAACGGCAGCGTCAGCTCGGGCGACGCCATCATCATGTCGAGGTTCATGGCCTCGCACCCCTCTTCCGAGCTCTCGTCCCCGACCTCTGCGCCCCAACAACCCGCCGTGACTATGGCATCTATTATACAAGCTGCCGAGGACCTTACCGAGTCGGATGATTCCAAAGGTCATAGTGAGCTCCAGAGCCCAACAAAGTCGACACACTCAGGTGACCCTCTCAACGATCTCGTCGCCCATGCCCGCCGGGAACGAAAGGTGCAAGACCTGGAGATCACCAACGCATCTCTCGAGGCCATCAACAGATCATTAGAGCGCCAACTTCGTAAACAGACTGCCGAGCTAAGACGGTACCGCAGACTGTCGCGCTCTGGCCGCCTGTCCCTGACATCTATGGCATCTAGCCGCGTTCCATCCGACTCGACGGTGGGTACGGCGGTCGGGATGGAAGGTGGTCTCGAGCTCTCCGATCTCAGCGAGGATGAAGGCGAGGACGAAGAAGAGGAGGATGATGACCTCGGGTCGTTGTATGACACGGACCCTTCCGATAGCGAATCCATCTCCAGCCCAGGCCTCAAAGCCGCTGACCGCCGCCGCAAGCGAGATGAGCGGCGCCTCCAGCTCGACCTAACCAAGCACCGTGAGCTCCTCGTTGACAGCCAAAAGATCAACCAGAGCATCAAACGCTGCCTTAACTGGACCGAGGAACTCATCAAGGACGGCAAGAAGGCTCTCGAGTACAAGGTACGCGTGAGTGACGTGGAGCTGGCGCCAAGGGTCCTGGCGCCGCAGTACGAAGACGACCCAGATGTGCTAAAGTCTGGGGACGTTGGGGACGACGACGGCGACATTACTCTGCCAGACTCTATCTTGGATGATGTGCCACCTCTTAAGGGAGCAAACCTCGCGCCGCCATGGAGTGGCGATCCGCAAATCAGAGATAGCGGCATCGAGCTACCTACTGACGAAGGATAGCGCTTGTCAGCCGCTCGATCATTGCCATCCACCTTCCACTAATCTCTCCACATACACATTGTAATTCCACGACCTTCCCCGTCATCGACCCGGCGTCGCGACGCCACATCACTCACCACTCACACACACACTCACGGACCACGGCTTTTCCTTTTTCCACAACACAGCATTGCATCGCGAGGGAGGGTACGGCAAAGACCGTTTGCCCAGGGCGTTTTTGTTACCATATTTTTTTGCAGGCGGGGGTTTAGCTCGGGTTGGCATCACACCTGCGCCGCAGCATATTTCATTATTCCACACTGCTCCGCCACCGAACCCGGACGTCGCGCATCTCTGCGGACAAGACGAGTTCATATACTCGTAGGGTGTGTGCTATCACCAGTATTTCGGGCTCCCTGCGTAGGGGCTCCTCCACGTCGTGTCATCTGGCTCTGCTTCCTTTTGTCGCTTTTTTTTTGTGTCTGTCTTGTTGCTGCTGCCTCGCGAATGGATATTTCATGTACCCATTAGATACCCCAGGATCACATAAAGAATGGAGGAATAAGGCGAGCCTGACGGGCTCTGTCTGGGAGATGCTAGCTAGTTAGCCAGCCGAGGCGAAGAAAGAATTATATTTCACTACTGCCGTTTCGTGATGGCCAGTGGGGAAGATGAGTGTGAGGCTGACGATGGCCCACTTCCGAGTCGGAGGACCCGGTTCGGGATGTTGAGCTACGTCACGAGCTGGAGGAATGGATCGACATGTTCGTAGCCATGCGCTTCATTCGAGGACGTGGCGCCTGTCGGCCGTCACCACTATTGCTCCTATTGGCGATGCGAGAAAGCTTCGTATCTAACTCTGCGTCTCTCTAGACAAAAAGCAGACCTGACGGGCACGGAGACGGGGAATCCAATCGGCAGCAGGACCCTTCTAAACAGACTCGAGTTGAACAAGAGAAGAAGAAACGGAAAATCTATCTTCATAAGGAGAAGCAGAAGAAGAAGAAGAAGAAGAAGAAAGGTGGTATTATCCATGCAAAAAAAGAAGACAAAGACTGAGAGTGAGGCGAACTCTTCCCATCCCTCCCGCGCATCTCTCCAACGCCCCGCTCTACACTGTCCGCTGCCACGTCTTGTCTCGCCCGTACCGTTCACGACCGGCGCATCACGTCGCACACCTAGACACCTCCTCCGGGACACCAAGGCGCATACTCTCGCTCACGGTCCGTCCTCGGGCGGCACACGCTGCGCTGCCCCGTCCGCTGCATCTGCGGTCCCTCACAGGTCGGCCTTCTCCTTGGGCACGTTCGGCGCGTCGGCGGCCGTCTTCTCGGCCTCGTCGTGGTGGGGGTGCAGGTGGTGCTTCTTGCCCGACTTCTTCTTCGTGTCCTTTTCGCGCTTGATGGCCGCCTCGGCGACGAGCTGCTCGAAGACGAGGTGGTCGCCCTCCTCCTCGGGGGAGCGTTTCGCCTTGCCGTGACGTTAGCGCGTGTCTTTTGTGTATTTTCAAGGACAGGGAGACGGAAAGAGAACGAGGGAAGAACGGAAAGGGGAGGGACGGGACGTACCTTGATGAAAATGTCGCCAATGAGGACCAGCGCCTCGGCGCGCTGGAGACGCTTCTGCAGGGGCACCTTCTTGTCGTAGAGGACCTGGTCGCAGACCTCGCGCAGGACGCTCTGAATCTCAAACTTGGAGCCGCGCCAGGCGGCGGTGAGGATCTTGCCGGTGACGCGGCGCTTCAAACTCGGCCTTTTGCTCGTCGGACCAGTCCTCGCCGCCCTGCTCCTCCATGCGGGCCATCTCCTCGATAGTCTGCTGGGCGTCAATGGCCGACGAGATGGTGCCCCACGTCTCCTTGACGAGGGTGCCCTTATCGCGGACGCGGCTGAAGAAGCCGCCGATGCCGAGGAACTTTTGGGAGCGCAGCAGGTTCGTCGCCTTGGCGAGGTACGTCTGGCCGATGGCGTGGAGAATGTCGAGGCCAAACGACTCCATCTTCATGTTGGCCTCCTCGAGGCGCGTCTTCTCCTGGAACGCCCGCGTCACGGCCTCACCGCGGTCCGTCTCGGTCCACACGCTGACGCGGTCAACGAGCTTGCGCGCGAGTGTGTCGACCGCGCTCCTGCCGCACGAGCGCCCGCTGCGCCTCCATGGCCGCGAGCTGCTCGCGCTGCTCCTGTTGAGGCCGCCCTTCTTCTTCTCCTTTCGCGCAGCGACTCTTCCGTCTCAGGGGCCGCCGCCTCTGCTCGCTGAAGCCTTCGTCCGAGGGGCGGTTCCATGAGGGCCGGGTCGCAGCG